CATCGGAGGCCCTCTTGGAGCCATCTATGGCCATCTTCGACGCTCTAGCCCCTCCGCCCCCCCCCCGTCTTGACCCCTGGGAGGGGAGGGGGAGGGTACCTCTCCCCTGAAGGAAGATGGTTGTTGGACGAGGAAAGAAAGAATTCATTAGACTACCTCTGGCCTAGTTGGCTTTCTCGTCGACTGGCATTTCCTCTCTCTGCACCCCCTCCATCCCTGGCCTCCTCGAGGGTGGGAGGGGGAGATGATAGAGGAGGACGGTGATGAGGAGTGGGAACGTGGGGCCGAGGGGACACGGCCAAAGACAGCTTACAGTTGCTCGATAGTATCGCATCTCATCATTGGCCCGGATTGCGCTCTTAAGCAAAGCGCTTCCAAGGAATCTGCCGCCTCTCGCGGATGACTCTGACCCCCTCGTCCTCCCAGTGTCTCGGGCCATCGCCGAGAGGAACGCCGTCGCTGTCTCATGCCAATCTCGAAGGCCTGTCCAGTGCCGCACAGGTACTCTTGCCCAATCTTGCCAAACTGACTCGAAGGCCTGTCCAGTGCCGCACTGGTACTCCTGCGGGTCTCCGGGAACCTGGTTGTCGTTTACAAGCAGTGCCTGGCAGCGCAGCCGCCCCCTTGCCGAGGTGCGACGGCCGGGAGCAGGCGCGCGAAGCCCGCCCGCAGAGGCGGCGCGGCACTGGCAGGGTTCGGCAATCGCCTCGATGGCACGAGCCGCGCAGTCGCGACTTGGACACGGCGCACGAAACCCTGCAGAGCCAGTCTCGGAAAGGCAGCTGCAGTACACCATGCCCGCTGCGAAGGCAGGCGTGCCCGGTCTCGGAGCGGGGGCCAGGCGCGTGGACGTTTCGGACGGGTGGCCACGAGGGCCAGGCGTGCAAGAACGTGCCCATCGCCCCAAACGCCTGCTTCCCCTTTTCCACTCTGCCTTGCTGTTCATCCTTACAAGTCCTCGAACAATTATGCATACTCCTGTCCTCCCTCCCCCGGAGAAGGTCGGGGAGTGACCCGCCTTCCTCCGCGTACTGCATTTGCTCACACACACGCACGATTTTAAACAATTGGTCTGTTTTTCATTAAGATCCGGTCGTTTTCGGTCTTTCGAAATTGTGCTGCCGCTGTAGCGTTGGCCTCATTTCAGGATTGGCGCGTCACCCCCGTCGTACAGAATGGCACTCTCGCCTCCCTCCCCCTCCCTATCGCCCGCCTCCCTTCCCCCGCCTTCCCCTGGTCCTCCTGCTCCTAGCGCTCCTTCCAATCCAGTTCCAGGTCCGCTATGCCACGCGCTCGCGGATAGAGACAACATCAGCACAATTGGAGGGGAGGGGATGGGTGGGAGAGGCAGGATGTCAGATGTGGCGCGAACGCACCTAGCTTGATGTGAATACTATTCCACTTTCTCCCCCGAAGATGGCCGGGGAGTAGTCCCCCACCTGCGCGTACCGTCATGCTGTTCACGCAGGATTTTAGACATCAGTCTTTCCCATAGGTGTTTCCATCAGAACGTTTACGGTGTCTCAAAACGGTGTTGCCGCTGCAGCGTCGGCCTCGTTTGAAGCTCGGCGCGTTGATCCGGTCGTTCCGAACGAGACGAAACCGGTGCAAGGAGATGTGATGAGTGGGGGGGGGTCTGATGTCAGAGCAGGCGCGAGCGCGCATAGCTTGCCTCCTCTCATCTCTCCTCTCTCCTCTCCTCCCTCCCCTACAATGACGCATTATGGATACTACTCTCCTCTCTCCCCCGACTCTGTCTGCAAAGTATTCGGCCCTCATTGTTTTTTTCGCGCAGAATTTCAGAATCCAATTTTCGCATTTTTTTTGTGTAAAGCGTGTCTGTTGTTTTGTTCTCGGTGTTTCAAAATCATGCTCCCGCTGCAGCGTGGGCCTCATTTTAGAATCGGCGCGTTACCCCCGTCGTTCAGAATGGCACTCTCGCCCCAGCGCTTGCCGTTTTTCTTCATCCGAGTCCTCTTTCGTGCTGTCGCCCCCCTCCCCCCTCCTCCGCCTTCCCCTGGTCCTCCTGCTCCTCCCGCTCCTTCCAATTCAGCCCCCGCTGCTGCTGCTGCTGCTGCTGCTGCTGCTGCTGCTGCTGCTGCTGCTGCTGCTGCTGTGCGTCGTTATCCTCCTCATTCCGCCTCCTTTCTCCTCCTGCTCCTTTTCTCCTGCTCACCCTCCTGCTCCTCCTCCTGCTCATCTGCCACCTCCTCCAATGTACGCAGCTCCCTCATTGTGCGACTGTGCATGGCACGGTGGGCTCCTCCTGGGAGTTCCAGCTCCGCTATGACACGCGTCTGCGGATAGAAAAGCAGCAGCGCAATGGGCAGGGATGGGTGGGAGAGGTGGGATGTCGGATATAGGTACGGCGCGAGCGCACCCAGCCCGCCACCTCCTCCCCCCGTCAGTTCGTCCGGCCGTCCCGTCTCCCCTTCCCCTCCCTCCCCTCCCCCCCCCACCCCCCATCCGACCTCCCTCGCCCGCCTCGCCCTGGCCGGAGGAGACCTGCACGACGCGGCGAGGGAGCACCTCGGCGGCGCCGCGGACGCGGCGGCGGACGTGGCGGGAGCCCGCCGCCGCGGAGAGCGGCGGCGCGGCGGCGACGCCGACGGCGGCGGCGATGGCGGCTGCGGTCAGGTCCGGCGGCGAGCCCGGGGGGGGGGGGGGGCAGCCGAGCGGGGGGGGGGGAGCGGGCCTTCTCAGAGCGGCAGGGCTTCTCAGAGGCCCGCGCGCCTGCTGGGGGGCCCCGCCGCCCCTCGCTCCTCCCCCCATTTCTCCCCCTGCCGCCGCCTCCGCGGCGGAAGGCCTGCACGACGCTGCGAGACACCACGTCGGGAAGGCAGCAGACGCCGTGATGGGGGAGGATGCCACCACCCACCAGACCACCCCAACCCAACCCGAAGGCCTCAATCTGCCCTGCATTTCCTGTGGTGGGGGGGTCGGGGAGCGTTGAAATTACACATGGGACCCGTCCCCCCCAACCCGAAATTCCGATCGAATTCAGGTCTTCGTATTGGGTTGGGGTGGTCTGGTAGGTGGTCAGGATGGGATGTGACAGAGGCGGGCGAGGGCGAGCAGTGGGAGCATGGGGTCGGGGAGGACAAGGCCAAAGACAGCGTACAGCTGGCAGCTGTATGCTGCCTTACTGTTGCTGTGGTGTGGAAGATCGCGGATCGTTCTTGTGCACTCGCGCTGCGAGGGGACAGAGCTCAACTGACCAAGGGCCCTGCGAACCAAACGTCCGCGGGAGGAGGTTTGGGCCAGGAAGGGCATCGGCACGCGCAGCGGGCCATTCAGAGAGCAGAGGCGGAAGCTGGCGGAAGAGACTGGAACCACATTCCTCCTGCACGGTGTTCTGGCGCCAAGAGCGGCTGGTCACAAATACTTCTGCCGATGGCGTTTGCTCCACTTTTGGCGAAACGTGCTAATCACGGAACAGGGGTAGGCAGACGGCCTATCTCGGCTTGTAATTGGGTGTTGTTGGCTATTAATGGATGTGCTGCGCAAGCTTGTGAATCAAATTCTCTGGGGGCTCTTGGTCCTTGTTACTTTGTAGCAAGACGTAAGCCATAATAAGTTATCGTCACGTCATCACCTCTGAATCGTAGCATTGTGTACTCAAAGACTCGCGCTGCCGCTGTCAATGCGGACTTACGTAAAAGTCTTGCCTGGTTTAACACATTATGTAATGCGGACTTGCGTAAAGCCATCCCGAGTGTAGGACATTCTGCAATGCGGGTTCACGTGTTCTTCCGCTTTCTTTGATCTTGGAGGCTAGGCTTGACTTCGCTGCCAGCCTGTCCCGTTATCAGTTTCCAGAGGTTCTCGACGTCCATTCTGAGAGAAAAATGCAGCAACGAGAAGTCGGGCGTCCTGGAATAGTTTCTCTTCAGCCAGGCACAGTGCCTCCTGCAGGTTAGGCACGTGGGTTGTGGCCAACGCGAACGTCATGAGTGTCGTAGATTGCGCAACCATTGAGGTCCATGGACGGCAATGTAGGCCCTGTAGGTGTCCATCCGTTCCACGGAACGATGTTGGCCGAACTGGAGCTGGAAACAGTCATCTGTCTTTGAGGGCATATTGGATCGTCTTGGTGGCAATGTAGCGCCACCCTGACCACCTGGGAAGCAAGCCTGGTCGTCGCTCGGAGCCTTCTGCGGGGGCCCTCTGGGGGCTCTCTTGAAGCGTTCGGGTGATTTCAGGCCCATCTTGGATAATCTAATGGCCCACTGTCCATCCTGTTACCGTGCCTTGGTATGATATTGCTAGGGGCCTTCTGGGAACCCTCTTGGAGCTCTCTCCGGGCTCTCTTGGAGGCTTCTTCGAGCTTTTTCTGGGCTTTCTCCGAGGGTCCCAAAAGGTTTGAAAAGGGGCCACAAAGGGCACCAAGAGGCTGTAAAAGGTTCAAGAGGGCCCCACAAGGGTTCCCGCAACAGCCTGCAACGGTGTCATACCAAAGGTTTCTGGTGTGATACTGTTGAGAGTCTGCTTGGACTGCTGTGGTGGCCCTCTGGGGGCCCTCTTGGGGCACTGGGGCAATGTTATGCCACTCTTGGATTATCGAAGACGCCTACGGCGAATCGCCGCCGCCCCCTGCCTTTTTGGAAGCGCCTATGTGGCCGAACGTTAAGGCCAGACCTGCCAAGCTATCGGACCATGTGTTCCCCGAATCGGTTTGGAAAGACTTCGGGGAACACGTGGACATCTTGAAGGTCACCTTGGCCGTCTGGAGGCCATTTTGACCCCTTCGGGCCTTCTTGGAGGACGTCTTGGAGGGCTCTTGGACCGTCTTGGAGGCCATCTTGAGCGTCTTGGAGACCTCTTGGGCCGTCTTGGGCGCCTCTTGGGGCCGTGTCTTGGGCCTCTTGGGCGATCTTTGGGGGCACTTGGGCCGTCTCGGGCCGTCGGAAGGCAGAACAAAAAGCAAATGCCACACTCCTTCAAACACCAATAGGAAATCAATGATTTTGACCTTTTCGGGCCTTCCTGGAGGCCCTCTTGGAGGCCTCTTGGGCCGTCCTGGGCCATCTTAGGGCCATGTTCGGCCGTCTTGGTGGGCTCCTGGTCCGTCTGACGCCGTAGGAAGCCGTTTGGGGGGCCTCTATGGGCCGACTTGGGGCCCTCTTGGAATGCTCCATGGCCGTCTTGGAGGCCATCTTGGGCGTCTTAAAGGCCTCCTGTGCCGTCTTGGGGGCCTCTTGTGGCCCTCTCGGGCCGTTCTGGGGCCATCGTGGAGGCCTCTTGGGCGATCTTTCGGCGATCTTTGGGGGCTCTGGGGCCGTCTCGGGCCGTCGGAAGGCCGTCAAGAAGGAAATGTCGAAATCCGTCAAAAACCTTGGGACAATCAAGGTTTTTGGCTTCTTCTATCCTTCCTGGAGGCCCTCTTGGGGGCCTCGTGGGCCGTCTTGGGCCGGCTTCGAGCCAACTTCGGCCATCTTGGTGGGTTCCTGGCACGTCTGACGCCGTTGGGGGCCGTCTTGGGAGCCTTTCTGGGCCGGCAGGGGGCCCTCTTGGGGGGCTTCGGGGCCGTTTTGGAGGCCATCTTGGGCGCCTTGGAGGCCATCTTGGGCGTGTTGGAGGCCTCTTGGGCCGTCTTGGGGCCCTCTTGGGGCCGTCTTGGAGGCCACTTGGGCCGTCATGGGGCCGTCATGGGGCCCTCTTGGGGGCCTCTTGGGCGATCTTTGGGGGCTCTTGGGCCGTCTTGGGCCGTCGGAATGCCGAGTAGAAGCAAATGCCAAAATACTTCAAACACCAAAGGAATATAACTGCTTGCTGGTGGTTGATTCCTCTGAGGGTTGAGCGTCGTGAGGGTGTGTTTCTGCTCTGCAGTCTTTTCTGGCTCAAGTCATCTTGGCTGAGCCTCCGACCTCCGCGGCCTCCAGGGCGTTGCATGCGCGCGGCGGGCCAGTGCGCGGTGCTCCTGGCCTTCCACGTCGGCTCGGCCTGGGTCGGGCAGCTGTGGGCGGCCGCTCGGGCGCCGCGTGCCCCGCCTTCGGCGCCACCCGTGGGGGGAGGGCGCCCGCCCCGCCAGCGCGGGGCTGCCCAGCGGCCGCGGCGCCGCCCACCCCCGCGCTGGCCCAGGAGCTGTGCGCGGAGTTGGAGGGGTGCCTGGCGTCCGCGGCTCAGGTCGTGTGCCCCGACCCTTGTCCGCCCTGCCCCGAGGCGGCCAAGGCGGACTTCCACTGGGGCGTCGAGGTCGTTCGGCCTCGTCACGCTCCTGGCGTGGGAGCTCGCTAGACTCGGGCTCGGTCGAGCCCAGGCCGCGCTGGGGCGGCTCTGGCCGCAGCGGCAGACCCGCGCTCTCGCGCTCGAGGACGCCGAGACGGACGGGCCGCGTGCTCGCGCGGCAGCGGCCAAGGGCGGCAAAAAAGGCGGCAGGGGCGTAGTGGTCGTCGCCCCTGGCGACGACCACTGAGAAGCATGGCGGGGGCAGCTGCCTCTGCCGTGCTGGGCCGTGGGTCGGCCGCGTGGGTGCGCTACGGCGCTGGCGAGCACCGCGCGAGGCTCGTCGGCCCCCTCGTCGAGAACGGCGAGTACGCGGTCGTGCCGCCCGACTTCGACGTGTTCGTGGAGCAGCTGAGCCTCAACAACGGCGACCTGGAGGGGATCCGTTTCTCGGCGTCTGTCGACGTGCGGCCGCGAGGGATCCCCATCTCTGGGAGTGCGAGGGGGTACTCCCGCGCGCTGCGGCCTCGCCCTCTGCCTCGCGGAGCTCGTTGCTGCCGGCAGGGGGGCGGCTTCGGACGCTGCCTCGAACGAGTGCTCATCGCCCCGGGGCCGCTCGCGAGCTGCCGAAGGGTCGAGGCGGCCGCGGCGTGCTCCTGACCGCGGAGGGCGGCCGCCCCAGGCTCAGGTCGCCGGTGGTGCTGGCGGCGGAGCCCCACGGCATCCCAAGGCCAAGCGCGGGCGACGCCGCGCGGAAGCGAGCCGCGCCGTCGGGCTCCACTTCGATCGAGTCAGACGGCAGGTGCGTCGCGCCCGTGCGGGCGCGCAGGCTGGAGCGACGCGGGAAGCGTCGGCTGGTGCGCTGGCTGCAGGAATTGCTAGAGCGGGGCCCGCAGCAGCGCGGTCTTAGCGCGCTGGGGCAGCGGGCCGTGCGGGGCCCCGCCGAGAAGCGCGACGTAAATCAAGTCAAGGGCTTCGCGATGTGGGCCGAGGTCTCGAAGGTGCAGGACATCGACCCCGACAGGCTGGGCGCGCCGCTGGCGACGCACTTCGAGGAGCTGTGGCTGCGGGGCGAGGCGCCCTCATAAGGCGTGAAGGTGGTGGCCGCCGTGCTGCGCGTGCACCCGCAGTGTGCGGGGGTCGGGGGCCTTGGGTTTCTTCGGAGCTGGCGTGCGCTGAAAGGCTGGGTGAATGTGGTGCCTTCTCGTGCTCGGGTGCGGCGCGCATCCCCTGTCTTGGCGGCCGTCGTCAACGCGCTCGTGGCCGACGGGAAGCTGGAGATGGTGCTCGCGGTGCTCGCGAGGCGGGGCGCTTGTTGTCGACCGGGATGCCTCTTGGCGATGAGATCCGAGGACCTGATCCGCCTCGACGGCGCGCGCGGCCGCTGGGGGATCACCCTCGACCCTTTCGAGGGGG